ACCAATTCTACACTCACGTACGCCCTATCTAGTCGGGCATGGCTGGCTGCCTGAAAGTGGGTGTACTGCATAGTCCGGCCACCACCGAGACATTCGGCCACATCCTCCAAACCATGTTCTCTTACTGTATCGCTTAAGACAGCCGTACTTGCATCCCTGTAATGTCGTTCGCTAGTTTTGTCTTTGGCTGAAAGGACGCCCTGCTCCCAGTAGGCTGAAAACCATGGTGCACTTTCATGGCTGTTATGGAAGAAAATACCAAAGTTGATGAAATGACTTCGAGTGCAATTTAAGTAGTTATGGCTGCAGAAAAAGAAATTGCAAGCAATGAAAGCACGCCTAGAAAAAAATGTTTCCTCCCGGGATCGAACCGGGAACCTTGCGCGTGTGAGGCGCACGTGATAACCACTACACCACGGAAACCAGAACAATGAGCCCTGCTCTCAGGAGGCTGAAAACCATGGTGCACTTTCATGGCTGTTATGGAAGAAAATACAAAGTTGATGAAATGACTTCGAGTGCAATTAAGTTGTTATGGCTGCAGAAAAGAAATTGCAAGCAATGAAAGCACGCCTAGAAAAAAATGTTTCCGCCCGGGATCGAACCGGGGACCTTGCGCGTGTGAGGCGCACGTGATAACCACTACACCACGGAAACCAGAACAATGAGCCCTGCTCTCAGGGAGGCTGAAAACCATGGTGCACTTTCATGGCTGTTATGGAAGAAAATACCAAAGTTGATGAAATGACTTCGAGTGCAATTTAAGTAGTTATGGCTGCAGAAAAAGAAATTGCAAGCAATGAAAGCACGCCTAGAAAAAAATGTTTCCGCCCGGGATCGAACCGGGGACCTTGCGCGTGTGAGGCGCACGTGATAACCACTACACCACGGAAACAGAACCATGAGCCCTGCTCCCAGGAGGCTGAAAACCATGGTGCTCTTTCATGGCTGTTATGGAAGAAAATACCAAAGTTGATGAAATGACTTCGAGTGCAATTTAAGTAGTTATGGCTGCAGAAAAAGAAATTGCAAGCAATGAAAGCACGCCTAGAAAAAAATGTTTCCGCCCTGGGATCGAACCGGGACCTTGCGCGTGTGAGGCGCACGTGATAACCACTACACCACGGAAACCAGAACAATGAGTTCTGCTCTCGGGAGGCTGAAAACCATGGTGCTCTTTCATGGCTGTTATGGAAGAAAATACCAAAGTTGATGAAATTACTTCGAGTGCAATTAAAGTAGTTATGGCTGCAGAAAAAGAAATTGCAAGCAATGAAAGCACGCCTAGAAAAAAATGTTTCCGCCCGGGATCGAACCGGGAACCTTGCGCGTGTGAGGCGCACGTGATAACCACTACACCACGGAAACCAGAACATGAGCCCTGCTCCCAGGAGGCTGAAAACCATGGTGCTCTTTCATGGCTGTTATGGAAGAAAATACCAAAGTTGATGAAATGACTTCGAGTGCAATTTAAGTAGTTATGGCTGCAGAAAAAGAAATTGCAAGCAATGAAAGCACGCCTAGAAAAAAATGTTTCCGCCCGGGATCGAACCGGGGACCTTGCGCGTGTGAGGCGCACGTGATAACCACTACACCACGGAAACCAGAACAATGAGTCCTGCTCTCGGGAGGATGAAAACCATGGTGCTCTTTCATGGCTGTTATGGAAGAAAATACCAAAGTTGATGCAATGACTTCGAGTGCAATTTAAGTAGTTATGGCTGAAGAAAAAGAAATTGCAAGCAATGAAAGCACGCCTAGAAAAAATGTTTCCGCCCGGGATCGAACCGGGGACCTTGCGCGTGTGAGGCGCACGTGATAACCACTACACCACGGAAACCAGAACGATGAGTCCTGCTCTCGGGAGGATGAAAACCATGGTGCTCTTTCATGGCTGTTATGGAAGAAGATAACAAAGCTGATGCAATGACTTCGAGTGCAATTTAAGTAGTTATGGCTGCAGAAAAAGAAATTGCAAGCAATGAAAGCACGCCTAGAAAAAATGTTTCCGCCCGGGATCGAACCGGGGACCTTGCGCGTGTGAGGCGCACGTGATAACCACTACACCACGGAAACCAGAACAATGAGCCCTGCTCTCAGGAGGCTGAAAACCATGGTGCACTTTCATGGCTGTTATGGAAGAAAATACCAAAGTTGATGAAATGACTTCGAGTGCAATTTAAGTAGTTATGGCTGCAGAAAAAGAAATTGCAAGCAATGAAAGCACGCCTAGAAAAAAAATGTTTCCGCCCGGGATCGAACCGGGAACCTTGCACGTGTGAGGTGCACGTGATAACCACTACACCACGGAAAATCAGAACAATGAGCCCTGCTCTCAGGAGGCTGAAAACCATAGTGCACTTTCATGGCTGTTATGGAAGAAGATAACAAAGCTGATGCAATCACTTTGAGTGCAATCTAAGTCTTTATGGCTGAAGAAAAAGAAATCGCAAGCAATGAAAGCAAGGCGAAAAAAAATGCCCCCTTCCCCGAAAGAAGTCGTGAGGAAATGCGAATTCAATGCGTTGCATCCATAATGGTGGTGCGCATGTGAGAACCGAACATTTTTTTTTTACACTGTGCAGTATATAACACAGTTCACCGCACATGACGTTTTTCTGTCACGGGAAACGAGGTATGCGTACTCAGCTCTGCACTCTGTTTCCTTACTTTGGTTCAGCTCTACCAAAGCTACGGCGTATAAGAAAGACACACGCTTGCGCAGCGAAACATATTCTTACATACAAGTGCCTCTATATTGACATGGTTGGGTAGAGTTGGCGTTTCTTTGGTGTTCTACGCCTTGGGGATTCATGGTTTGTTTATTATTCTTTGCATTTATTTTCTACGCAAATTGCATGTGTAGGTTACCCCCGAAAACTGTGTTCACAAATCAACATGGCAGCACCTATGCAAAAGTGACTGCCCGCTTCGATCCGTACTTGCTCTTGCTACCCGCGCACTGTGATGACAGCAGTAAACAATCTGTGACAGCAGTGATCAATTTGTTCGATTTCTTTCAGAGACTGAATCATCAGGTACATTTTGTCGATATTAGGGAGATGTGCTGCTTGCTTAGAGCCGCACCTGCTAAGCCTTACGCCCCGAGGCAGTGTTCGGACTGCGTCGTCCGGCCAGGAACGCTCCATATCCAAATATCGGACGTGCAACCACGCACAGAATTCTGTGCGCATCGGAACTTCTTTCGGTGGAAACAAAAAAAAAAACAGAGAAAAGGAGGGTTGCAGTGGGAGACGCGAAGAAACACGTCGACAGAGAAACAGACATGCAAGAGCGAAGAACAGCGTCGGAGAGAAACAGCCAAGAGGTGAAGTTTTCCGCCGGCATGAGCTTCTACTGATGTTCAGCAGAGAACCGAATTCACGCTTTTTTAGGTTCTCGGTGTAGTTGCTTGTTTGATAGATTTACTGATTTTTTTTTTTTAGGTGCCAGGGACGCGCGCGTCTGCAGCTGTTGCTATGGAAGAGGGTGGTTGACGGATCCCGACAGGCGCCTGACATAACGCAACTAAGAAACGCATTCGCATTTAAAAAAATGTTTCTGTCTGGGATCGAATTCCGGACCTTGAGCATGTGAGACACACATGATTTGAAGAGCGCCATTTGAAAGTACCAAAAAGAAATGGCGGGTTCCTCGCCCAGCACTGTTCTCATTGAGGTTGCGCTTCCGTGTTCGACCACACTATAGGGTCTTGGCCAAGCACGCAAACAATCAAACCAAAGTGATCATTCAGGCCTTGATTATCGCAAAGGGTACCTGTGTCAGCAAGCTTTCGGTTGCCATGACCCCAAAAGAACTAGCTTTTCTTGACAGCATTAACCTTGGGACATACCAGTAATATGCTTTCGTTGATTTTCGAGTATTTTCTTATCATGTATCATCATGTCCGTTTAGTGATATCTGCCTAGTCTGTTGACGATGGTTACGTGATTCTTTGTGCGCACTCACGTGATGAGGTGTGCAGATATGTATACATGTGCGTTATTTTTTTTCAGTTAATCATGACTTGTAAGACAGTGCTTTTTCCTGTTCTTTTTCTTGTCCCTTCCCTTCTGCATTGATTGTTAAGGTGGATTACCAACTATCCCAATTTCGACCTTACTATTACATTATGACATAAGAAAATTGTTGCATGGTCCCTTTAAAGTACTGAGCGCGAGAAAATGAACAGTTCGTCTTTGTTCTCTCGCAGGCCTGTATCTCGTGTTCGCGCTTAACGTTCATGGACGACTTGTTCCACCTTGACCAGCTTGCAACGTTGTTGAGTTTAGAATGCGTTCACTGAGCACTCCTCAGCCCTTTCCATACAACGGATTTCAGAAGCTCTGCAAGGCATTCACAGATAAACGAAGGTAAGTAAGTAAGAAAAAAAAACAAATGTATGGGGCCTGCTTAAACGTGAGGAGTAGTGGGCATGAGCGAAACGCCACTCAATTTGAGGCATGTTAGAGTAGTGTCGGCTGGAAGTCCTTGTATAGGTCAATAGTAGTGGTTTGAACTGTGCTACAGCTTTCGCAAATGAGATTTTCGTCTTACGTAACAGGTATAGCTGCAGACTATATATACATCTATTGATGGAGGGAACAGTAAGAACTCGTACACCGTACATGATAGCAGTTCACCATAAGTCACAGGCCCACCAACATTCACGCCTAAAGCGTTACGTAATTTGCGCTAAATACAACAATATCGGCACAAGGTCATTACGTTGCTTGCGTTTGCGCTTACGATACTTACTGATGATCCGTATATACCTAAAGCACGTAATCTGAACATGCCCTAACGATGTGGTAACGACTTCTACATGGTGAAGTTGTTCCGTTTCAGTTAACACTTTTGGTCTTTTGAAGGTGTTAGCAAAGCGTGCAGAAAAGATTGGGAGGTTATTTGTATGTGACCGTAAACGTGCGCGTGGGAAGGACGGAGTTTAGCATGTTTGTCTTTTAGCTTTAGTAAAAAGTCACTCGCATCGTGAAACAAATGCCCCCAAAAAAACATGAACAATGCCCTCCAGTTGTATGTAATTACTGGTACGAAAACTCCGAGCAATTTTAAAAAGAAAAACACTAACACGTCACGCAAAGCTTCCACTGACGGCTATATAGTAATCACGTATTTAACAACACATCAAAAGAAAAATTCTCCCGTGTCGGCTCCGCCATATTAGAAGAGTAGGCTCAGTTACATGCTACGCAAGGCGAACGAAGGCTTTCACCAATTTACCGCAGGCACTTATGATAAAAAACCAAGAGCGATGTCAACAAATACAAAACAGCTAGAAGAGAGAGCCATGTTGAAGAGATTGATTAGCTAGAACTTGAGCGCTGAACTATTTCGACACTGCTTCACACTGATGCTTTCGTTGAGGGTCGGAAGTCAGTGGATTAGGTGAAACCTAAAATGGTACCACGAATCTGGTTAGGCTAGGGACCTTGTGTTAATGCGCTTTTGTTAACTTGAAGTGAAAGCGTTTCTGTCGGCTTCGAAGGAAACAGTTACCAATTTTAGGCCAGGCTACGGCTATATATTCAAAGCGACGAAAAAAAAAAAACTCTCTCGGTCATTTCACCTGTCGCAATGCTACAACCCGCAACTCGGTAAACATCATTCAGTGCGGGTGTTTCAGCACAGTAGAGAGTCTCTCATATTGCTTCATTCTATTACGGGATTTCTCAAATGAAAAAAAAAAATGAAGCATGATGTGGTCACATATGGATGTTCTTTTTGGTGTCCACGTGTTCGTTTAACAGTTCTGCTCAGGACGTAACCTTGGTGAAGAAGCATTGCCATTGCGCAGAAAATTATGCAACACTTCAAAAGTCTCTTTTTAACCCGCAAGTAAAACACATCTGCAACAGGCACTGGCTTTGTTTATTTATCTCGCTTTACTTCATTCCTGTAATCCTTGCTATCAGCTCAGACACAATAAGAACAGGACTATTTGTCTTAAAATGTATGATCGTCTAAAAGAAAACCGGTATGTGATTTAACGAAAATTCTCGGTAATTGTTTGCTGACACTGTTCGTATTGTTCTTGCTTGGCTGTTGTGGTCAGAAAAGAAGCATAATGTCATAATCACGTCACCTTCTGTAATGCTTCAGGACTGTGTTTTAGAACTATCGTAACTCGAGCAGCTTAACCGCACTCAATGCAAACCGTAGTCGGCTGAGAGTTCCACGGGCTGCGAGGCGACGGTTAAGGGCAATCACACGTGACGTAATCGCTCGAACACCGGTTTAATTATAAATAACGTTTTGAGCGAAGCTCATTAGGCCCTTACACCGACCGTTGAAATTGATGCTCGCCGTATGCCCTAGTCAAAGAACTGACGCGAAACATCTGTGCGAAATACCGTCTAGAGAGTGTAAATAGCACGCATATGATTGAAAAGTAGACCAGAAGTCAAGATTTTCCTAAACATTCTTTATATAGTTTATCATTTAGTCAATGAAGCTTCGCTTAATCATCAGCATTCACTTCGTGAATATGCAGCCAATTTTTCAACGTAACGTCGTTATGGTAGAAGAATGGTATACCACCTGGGGTTCTTTAACGTGCACCCGAATCTGAGCACACGGCCTGCAGCATTTTCGCCTCCATTGAAATGCAGCCGCCGCAGCCATGATTCGATCTCGGGACCTGCGCGTCAGCAGTCGAGTACCTTAGCCACTAGACCACGGCGGCGGGATGTACATTGTAGAGTTTGAAGAGCCCGTTCGCGCACTCAGGTAATGCACCGTCCGCCGTTTTTCCCGTTTGCGAAACATTGATAGCACTATAAATACTTTCAGGTTGCCAAGAGCGCTTATCAGTCAACCATGATTGTGGCATTTGCGTAAGCGTGCTAATTTCGTTCAACTACAACAGGCTATAGGACTCGGAAGACAACACATCACTGCCTAGTAAACTGACGCCAGACTTTTTCGCTACTTACATGGACTCAGTGATGCGCATTTTCCAGCGCTGACGTCTTCTCTTTACCAGGCTTTCTTCGACGTGGCAAGGGACACGGAGCGTCGCCTCATCAGCTTCGTGGTTGGAGAGATGTCACCATTTAGAACAGATGTCACCATTTATAACACAAGCACGTACCGGGCACTAAAATCCCAATATCATTGTCACCGGCGGATATGCTGCTGATGCATGGCGATCCTCGACGATTCACAAGATTTGTTCATAGTGCGCGCACAGAAAAACAAAAACAAAGAACAACAAAATTAATCAGTTTTTCTTAGAACAACGCCAAACTTTTTCAGGCACTGAAACTATCAACGCACTGAACGAGGTCTCGT